ACACCAGCAGCATCATCTCTCTCTCTCGCTTTTTTTTATCAGCTAAAAGCTGACGCGAAAACTAGAACGTGCTACTGTTGCCGTCACTGCTGCTGCTGCTGCTGCTGCTGCTGCTGCTCTTGCTACTCGTCCACGAGCTGCTGCTGCTTAGTGGCTTTTTTTTTTTTACTTTTTATGTTATACTATTACCGACGAGGTGTATATGTATATAATCATAATAATATAACACGCTGAAGTTGTTATTCCGCAGTGGCGCGATACGTCGAGCGAAAAAACATCAACACGTACACACGTACACGTACACGTACGTATACGTAACGTATATATTATACACAGCCACGCGAATACGTAAAAATTTGCAAGATTCCCGGTCAAAATGGAGAAATAAATCTTTCGGAAAAAACTGGGTCGAACTACTTGCGCTCTGTGTGCGCTTGCCGGAGCTCGCTTGCCTCTCTCTCTCTCTCTCGCCCTCTCGTCGCGTTGCTGGGTATAATATACGTGTGGGTGCTATGTATACGTGCACACTCGCACATACGGACAAAGACGCGGCAATCCGGCGTGCTACTAGCCCCCTCGTTGTCAATGTGATATTCTCCCAAAACGGAAGGTATATTACCGAGGCGTCGCAAAACTCTGCTGACTAAACGGAATTACACATTTTTTTCTTCGGGAATATAGGCTTCGGATAGCTGGGCTAGGCTGGATGCTGCCTGCCGGAGAAACGAGAAAGGTGGCGAACGACGCGCGACAAAAAGCCCAAGGAAAGCTTTTAAGAAAAATTTTTGTGTCACCGAACAGATATGTAATATATAGGTGACACACATACCGACGTTTTATTACCCCTTTTTTTGGACAAAAGCTAGAGGCCGAATATATACGAGTGCACCCGTAGACTCGAATGCGCGCGAAAAAAAAAATAAACGCGATTCACGTTGAAAGGTCCTGGGCGCAGCAGAGAAAGACTTGCATCATTTCAGACAGGAAGAATGAAGAATAAGCGTGCACACACACGCGGGCGCGAGCCTTTAAAGTACCGAAAAATGTACAAGACCCAGAAAAATACCTGCGTATTTTTGCTTGCTACTTTTTTTTTGTGCACAACGAATGACGTAAACACTCTATCTCTTTCTCTCCTCCTTTCTCATTTTTTTTCCTCTCTTTTTGCCCTCTGAACGGCGCACGAGGGTATGTGTGCGCGAGGCTATATACGTACGTAGACGCAATTGCGCGAGCGTATAGTGTGTATAAAGAGCTATACTTACGAGCTCAAATATTCCGTAGCCGAGGCAGAGCTGCACCGAGCAAAGCCAACGCGATGCGTTTTTGTGTATATACACGCACACATAGAGTCGGCTGCTCACTGCTGCTGCCTCGCAGAAAAGTAAGAGAGCCAGCGAGCGCGAGATCTAAAGTTCCGCAGTGGAAGAATCGCAGAGCGCTACGTATACGCCACTGTTCTGCTGCTACCATTCCTTTTCGGTGCCTCTTGCACACACACACACTCACACAGGGCACTACTCCGCACGCAGACGGAGAAAGAGAGAGAGCGAACGCGTGTGCGCGCAGTGCATCTATGCACATACGCGGCTGCATGTATATTTCAGTCAAAAGAAGCGCACAAAGTGCAAGCCTTTTGGATGTCAAAGCACTGGCAGTAGTAGTAGGTAGTAGCGGAGTACGCGGCAACGGCGGTTATATGCTACTACTGCTCCTCTTCTTTTCCTTCTTCTTTTTTTTGTCGTAAGTATAAGCAATAACCGCGCGCGCCCGCGTACGCATCAGCAGCCCGAGTTGCGACTGCTAAGTCGTTTTTTTTCTCTCTTTTTATTTTTACTTTCATCCCTGCCTCGGATAAAAGTATTCACTGCGGGCTACGCACTCGTACAGATACATTCGAATCCGGTGCAAAGTGTCGATTGAAAGGGGATACCTCGGCGCGTTTGGTTTCGCGCGTCTATGCACCGCTAATACGTATGTCACGAAGGGACACATACTCATCACGTACAGCCGCAGTAAGTCTAATACGTTTTATACGCACAAACAATCGAGCGCCCGCGTTGATCATTTTCGCCTCTGTCAAAGCCCCGAAGCTGCTGCGCGCAGTACTGTACAAATAAGAGGGATGAACGAAACACGGGCGAGCCGGGATAGCTCGTTAAATCGACACCACATTTACTGCGATCTGTATACGTTGTGTATCAGCTCTCTCGGCCTCTGTTGTATCTCGACGTCGTCACGACGCTCGGAGCTTGTATAGCCGTCATTATTTAGCCGAAAGCAGCAGCAGCAGCAGCAGAAAGTATAAAAGAGAAAGGCCACACCGCGGCTGAAAGCTTGTCTTTTCTAATAGCGACACGATGCAGCAGCAGCAGCAGCGAGCTGCGATTATGCCGACGTCGCCCCGTCGCAGCCAGCAGCAGCAGCCGCCACTACGGCAAAGCAGCTTTTAGCAAAGATACACACAAGCTCTCTTCGAGCTTTGTGCTCGAGCGTGCAACGTCTCAGCTGTGTGTGTGTGTGTAGTATGATGAGTATAAAAGCACGAGGCGAGCTTCTTATATCTATACGAGATTCGCGCTCTTTGTCTGCGTGCAATTCGCGCAGAGAGAGAGAGTAAGAGAGGGAGGGCTATATCTTAAAAAATTTCTCATCCCCTTCCAGCTCCTTGGCTTCTTCTTCCTTCATCGTGCTGCGGCGCGGTTTCAACAGGTATATATCGTTCCGTTAGCCGCGAGAATTATTTATGATAATGCCCGGGCTTATTCGCCAAGGCGGATCGCTTCTGGTGGCGCGCGCGCGCGCGAGCGAGCTTATTAGAATAATCGGATTTACAGCTGATTTCAATCTCGAAGCCTCTCTCTCTCTCTCTCTCTCTTTCTCCCTATCCCTCTTTCCCTTATAAGGCACGAGTGAAATATTATCATCGCGAGTTCGCACGATCGCGCTATATATATACGAGCCCACGACAAACAATAATGAGCATAACGACGCGGAGCCGAGATTGAATATCGCCGCGAGACGATTCATTTCCTATCCTCTACTACGGCTGCCGTATAATATCCCAAGGTGCAGAGTTGGCGTCGAGGGCACGAATAAGCGAGAGGGCCTAAGTGAAGCTTATCTGTGCGAGCTACTGATACGCGAGGGTTGCCGCTGCTTTTGCAGCACTGGGGATAGCCCGACGCGTCTGGCCTGGGCGAAAGAGGGCCACTGCACGTACCAGCCCCGGTATAAAGTGGAAGAGTAGCGAGAGAAGACGTTGGAACACGAAAAAGGTGTAGCCCGAGCTATAATAGGTGTGGAAGCCCCGCACTGCATTGGCTTATACGCGCGTACCTACACACACACACGCTGCACTCGTACAAATAGACATCGACAAAAGAGAAAATTTCGACCGATAAATCCTCTGCGCCCGATCGCGTGATTTTCCTAGCGCTCTTATCATACATTTCAGCCTGAATTATGCAAAAAGCAAAAATGATTCTTGGCGTGATACCCACTACTAGCCTGGCTGCGCGCTGCGAACTGCAAACTGCAAACGCGCGCGAAAGATATATATATTTCAGCGTGACCGAGGGCACTAGACTGGAGGAGAGATAATGAAAAAAAAGGAGGAAAACTAATCAATTGGCGCACTCATTGGTCATTGAATTATTCGAAATAATCGGTCAGCCTTGCAGGATTTACAATATTCAATGTTTATGAAGCTCATTCCTCGCCGCGATTGTGCAGTCGAGTCGGGGCCTCGAATTCAAAGAAAGCCTCCAAAATGTATGTATATGAATTTTGTCCGTTTCGAGTGAAATAATTCCCTCGGCCGACTACACATAAATACACACACACACACACACACACATAGGTAATACGCGCGAGGCTGAGCTGCTGCTGCTGCACAGCCATACCGTCGCGCTACAGCCGTTACGCTGCAGCTCGTATTAAAATGCAAAAGTCCAGTCGGGTCGCGCGGCGCCCGCACACATATATACAGCGCTTATATTCCAGTGAATCGCAATCAAAATATTTGAATTTCAGATTTATACATAACCTCTCTGTTTCTCTCGCCGCCGACTCTCGACTGCAAAGCCGCGACCCGCACACGCACGCAGACAGACTCGCGTATACTTTATAGCTATATAATATTACAATACCACACGCGCGCGCGTCCAAGTGCCAACCTCATCATTTTCTTTTTTTTCCACTTGGAAAATCAGTATACGATATAATAATGTTATATATGCATGCGTATGCCGTGTACACGGACTCGAGCGAGCACACGGCCGGTGGCTACGAAGTAAAAAAAAGAGCAGAGAGAGGAAAATTAATCCAGAAGAATAATAACGTTGCATATCTCGAAGGGTGTTTTACGTCGCGCGATAACGTACGTACCTGCGGTACACACGGCCAACTGCGCTTTCGTTTTCGCGCGCTCGACGCTGCCTTCTGCCTCGTGGCTATTTGCAACTTTTTGACGTACACAAGTATAGCTAGCTGCCGCAGATCCATATTATGTAAATATGAGAACGCGTGTTGTGTAGCCGCCAACTCGGTTCGCGCGCGCGTACGACTACCCGCTACTCCATATATACACGATGTACATTACCCTCGTTCCCAGTTGAATATCAAATAACAAGGGAAATAGAAGTGAGAGAAAGAGAGAGAGAGAGAGAGAGAGAGCAGAGAATCGGCCGTCCGCCCGAGCGTGCACGAACAAACGAACGTGTGTGTACCTATACGCGTATGGAGCAGCTTCGAATAGAATTGCGAAACAATAAGTTAACGAAATTAAGGGCTCTCCCTCTCTTTCTCTCTTTCGTACGAATATTCTAAACTTTTCCACCGACGATTCGTACAAGCGCGTATATTATAATAACTTGCTCGAGAGACACACACACACGAGCGCGCTTAGCAGCACACACTTGTTCGAGGGTTATGAATAATTTATGCAATAATAATAACGTCAAGGATAACGGTGTGCTTATTATTAATAGGGTACTCACGTTTGCCTGTTGAAAAGTCGCGTCAGCGTGCTGGCTTGTCTTGGCGGGCCGTTCGCCGAGGGCTATTTTAACCCAGTGGCGAGTCGAGGCCCAAAACCGTCGCGATTTAGCAACTCCAGCACTGCACGGTTATTGGAGAGAGACAACGATTTCGCAGCAGACAATTCCTCTCGTCCTCTTTCTTTCCTTCTTTCTTTTTATCGTCGCGATGCTTCTCTCTATTTATCTTTGGCGCCGGTAAACACACAGAGCACTGGCAGCGGTGGCAGGCAGGCAGTAGCCGACTGCACCGCGCGTCTGGCTGACAGCACGCGGCACACTTTATTTATTTATTTTTTTCCTTTACAGCTTATCACACTGGTCGTCTTGTTTACCTTTTACGGCGGCAACGCAGTAGGCGAGGTAAACAACAGCAATAACATAAACGCACTCATATTTGGAGAAAGACTCGAGGAATGATGCCGCACTACGTCGAGAGTAGCAACAGCATCGCACGTCGTCACATCATCATCATTGCACAACAAGACACAGTGACACTACAAGACAATACGTATAATAATAAATCGTGTACATTCACCTCTCTTCGGAGCACTCGCGAACCAACGACAAAAGGAAAAAACAACGTCGATTCCGGGTAACGCACCGGAGTAAGACTAAAAAATTAATAACCGCACGCGCGCACTTTTGTGTGAACGAGTGATGTGAGGAGGGTGTGTGTGTGGGTGTGTGGGTTTGAAAATTGCAGCACTTGAGAGAAATTATATCATCTCGAATGGCGAGACATATCGTATAAGAAGATTTGTAGGTGGAGTAAGGAGAGCGTGTGCGAGTAGCAGCAGCAGCAGCGGCGGCTGCGGGGGAGGGGGAGCATGGGAGGACCGCCACAGCCCTCGCAGTGCGAATTTTCTTCTCTCTTCTCTCTCTCTCTCTCGCTCACTCGGCGCTTTCGAGAAAGTAGCAAACGCAGTGAGTGAGAGCTGCGCACGAGGGGCCGATTGGGGGGAAGAGAGGGGTTAGGGGAGGGCTACGAGGGGATCTAGAGGTGACTAATGAGAACGAAGAAGAAGGGAAACAGAGAGAGAGAGATGGAGGACGAGGAGGAGGAGGAGTGAGGAGGGAAGGTGGCGGTGGCGCACGGATAGCGCGCGAAACTGTGTCAGAGGGATGCTCGCGCAGCAGCAGCAGCAGCAAGTTGGGGCGCGCGGGCAACGCAAACTCGTGTGCACAGCAGCAGCACCACACAGCACAGCAGCGGCAGCAGCGACTCTCTCGCTCACTCTCGTATTATAGTACCGTGCGTACACCGTATATAGTAGTATATATCTTTTGCGCTACAGAGTTATATATATATATATAACACACACGCGGCGGAGCTGCTTCTACTAGCCGCGCGCGCGAGCGAGTGGCGCGGCTGGTTACCGACAACCCTAGGACTCCCTTATCTTTACTCGGTCCGTTGGAGGGAGCGAGATGCCAAGCGCACCACACACGACTTTGGACGCGCCTGCGCATTGGAGAAGCGAGGCGCAACTGCACTGCACACACACACACGCGCGCAGCACGGAGTACACCACCCGCAGAGAGATCTCTGACTGAGCCTTCGTAATTGCGGAGAGAGGGGGTCGTCGTCGTCGTCGTTCTCTCTCTCTTTCTCTGTCTCACTCGTATACCTACCTTATACTACACTCGCAGCTCACTCGGTCGGTTGTTGGCAATGTTGGCGGAATAAGGCAGCGCAGGCGTTTACTGCATCGCCCCCGAGAGAGAGAGAGAAACGAGGAAGCGAGCATTGATCCCGCGAAAAGCGCCGAGTCGGCGGCCCTTCGAGTGTACATACACACACGTATTATAGCGAGAGAGAGAGAGAAGGCGTGCGATAAACGAATCTCGCGTATAGTCGTTTCGGGAATTCGTCGTGGTAGTACACATAGTCGCGAGCGCGCCAACTTCGATTCCGACCGCGCGCACTTGAATATGCAACCAGATATTATGTGTATACACACTTTTATGCGAGTGTCTGTCCCGACGGTGGTGTGTATATACTGTACTGTGTGCGGCTGCGAGGCGCGTGTATCAAGGCAGCAAAGGCAAAAAGTGCCTCGAGGCCGAGCTGCAGCTCTCTTGAGCTTCGACGCGACAAAGAAAGAGAGAGAGGAATATTTCCGAGGGGCTATTACAGCGACGAAATAAGATACATTCTATTTTGTAGCCGACGAGGAAAAAACGTCGACGCGATTGGATTTTGCACCACCACCCCTGCACTGCCTGCACAGCCCTCGTAACGCAGTATCTCTCACATAATGTATACACTTCTCGAAGCATACGTTCAACCAAGATCCGAGCTCGTATTTCTTTACACACACATTTATATACACTGGTACATCCGGTGGGATAGAGAGAGCGAGTAATAGGAGAGCGACTCGTGCGTAATGGAATTTGTCTGCGATTGATTAAATGCGCTGCTCTCTCGCGCCGCTTATTTATTTATATTTAATCCCGAGGATACTAGTGCACTAGAGAAACATATTACCTACACGCGTGTGTGTGTGTGTGTGCAGCAGCTGGCTAATCAGCCCGTAAGCTCCAACGGAATGAGCTGCACTTATACATCCTCTCACTTAATACTTTCTATATATACGGTAATCCGCGTGCGTTAACCAACTCTAACGGTGCGTACACGTGTGCGTGGCGAAGTTACTTATCGCTTTTTGATTAATACCCTTCAACGTACAGCCGATTTCTCTCGCGCGCAAGTCTGACACATCCTCTACGTATAGTTTCGCCTGATCCTCGACTCGTCCGTTACGTGCTATATCGCGCTGTAAGCGCACGCACCGACGAACGCATACTCCGCTGCTGAGCTTTTTTCCCTCTCTGGCGCGCGCGCAAGGGCTCCGCGATGTATCTATATGTTGGCAATTCGCATTCAAGCCTTGTTCAACTAGGTAACGAGCAATTAAATTAATGTATAAGGAAAGCCCAATTACTGGGGAGAAATCGATGGATTAGCCCCAGTATATCTTGCCTGCGTCCGTTGTTACAATTAAATACACTATGGCAAATCGGCCAATTCAATTAATACTTCGATTTGCTCGTAATCTTCCTGCGCGATTCTCTGCGCTTGTAAAGCGAGAAAAAACAAAAAAAAACAAAAAAAAACATGCCTCGCGTTTGTTACTACTCATGAAAAAGTTTGCTTTACTACGAGTGTGCCATATCAATTAAAATCACAACGATCCGATTGATAATTTTAAAGGTTCCGCGCTATAACACGTAAAATCGAGTTCGTTAATTGTTTACGATCGACTTCGTTGCATAGCGCCGAAAAATAAACTCTTTCGGTGCAGCAGCGAGCATTACAATGTGCATCGCGTTTATATGCATATACGTTGCAAGAATGAATCGCGAAGCGAGGTGAGGCGAAGGAAGGAAAAGATTGAGGTCGACACGATTTCAAATTTCCGAATCTTATTACAACTCTATGTCGGGAGGTGTATATACGTATATATAATACGTGTTGTAGTGGAGCGCCTCGCGCTACATAGCATCTCGAGCTAAAGGCTCCAAATACAGGTCCTATTACGGCTATGTGTATATACCGCTTTACTGGCATAGCGATTTATAACAATTTTGCACCGAGCCGCGGCTAACCATCGAGTGTAGGGCTATTATGCAGCGAGGAGTTTTCGAGCTTTCCTCGTGCCGAGAAGGGCCTCGTGTGAAGTACGAAAATATGGTAAAATTACAGAAAGTTTCGTGCCTTAGGATAAAAAGTATTCCCTCAATGTCGAGAGGAAAAAAATACCCTATCCTCGGCGAGTGTTATGCACGTGATTTATAATTTGTTTTCACTCGTGACCTATTTCCTTTTTTTTTCCTCATAATTTATTTAAAAAAATAAATAATGTTTTGATTTCTAATATTCATATGCACTCGTGTACGTGCGCGAAAATTCACTCCGCACTTACAAATCGCGTAAACCCGCCGAGTGTACACGTGCTAACGTCTCGCAATTTTTCATGACAAAAATACTTTTCCTATAAATTCGCCTCGCGTTCTCGTGAAAATGGCAATCTCCGTGCTCAATGCGATTCAAATTTAACCTTCTTTCTGCTTTGAGGGGGTGTGGTGCGCGCCCGGAATATCGCCTTTTGAGAGCGAGCAATTTTTATACAAGCATTAACGATATAAGATGAACGCGGACGCACAAAGGTAAAAATGACTATCTCGCTGGCCGTTGCTTGCGAGCGCTCACCCGACTTATAAGGAAAAAGAAAAATGGGACTGGCACTATCGCGCGAGCATCATATATCTGCGAGCGATTGAAGCTCCACGAGAAAAGAAGAAACAGCTGCGCGCTACGCTACGAGCGAGACCCGTCGTTTCGGATCCAAGTCGTCGGACTGCGAAAGCTTTGTGTGAAAATTAGATTAGATGCGCGCGTGCAAGCCTCTATCTCACTCTTTCTCACCATCTCCCTATTCTTTTCTTTTCAATGTTCTCTTTTCTCCGTCGTCGTCGTCGTCTTCTCCTTTACGCGAGCTTGACGCTTACTTCGTAAATCCGCCTCTAATGTATATACTTAGTTTTCCTTTTTACTTTTTTTTTGTCCTTCTTCTCTCAACTCGGGGCTACAATAGCCGAGGCAGTTTCATGAGTCTGCCGCGTTATATATACGAACTCTGTATACGTAACTGCCACGCGTGACGGGCGCGTCCCCTTATAAGTATATGTATAGCATAAGATAATCGGGCGCTTGCCGGAGCCTCTTTAAAATACCTGACTCGTTAACTCGACGGATAGTTAGAGATTGTTGGGTTAAATGAAGCGTAACGCGCGAGAGAATTTTCCAGCATAAACACTTATTACACGAGCCGCGTGGAGACGAAGGCGCAGCTTGCGGTGCTCGTCGAGAAACAGAGTAAGCAAGTAATATAAACAATTTTCATTCTCCGGAGCTTTCGGTGAATAATTATGGTCAGGGATATACACATGCGCAAATTTATCTAAGTATACGTATGAATGTGTTTGTGCGTGTGTATGTGTAAACGGTTTTCGACCTCGTCCTGTAAAAACATTACGTTAATTAGGACTCGCAGAAGAGAAACATCGCTCTAGCCTACTTATTACGGTCTCGTGAGAAAGTAAGTCATGCGGCTGGGCGCATAAAAGCTCGACGCTGCTGCTGTACAGGCGCGTGTATGCTGCTTCGTACTACGTTGTAGCACGCCGCGCAGCAGTGTGGCAAAAAACACGCGCGGGCGCTCGCGTGCTTTGGTGCATGCATTTACCCTTTTACGATGCTGTGCGCGCGCGCACATGTGTATTACGCGCGTTACGCGTCGACTCTCTCTCTCTCTCTCTGCATGAGCTTTTCGCACCAAGTTAATTACAAACGCACACTAGACAGAGAGAGAGAGGGCAAAAAATGCAAGGCCAACTGTCCATATTAATTTTGTATAAGTGATGTATGCTCAGCGGAAAAATTATATCTAACAGTTTGAACTGCGCGCCGAGGAGAAAATTTGAGTGAGTTATAATCTAAAAATTATTTATCGCGCGGCGATGCCCTACGAAAAGCCGCGATGAATGTAAACTTTTCAGCGAGTATACTTAAGTTAAATAAGTAAGAACGTAAAATGCTGTTCACGAGTAAATGTGGCTATGAAGTTAGTTATACTCGCTAACGTGTAGAAAAAGAATAGTCGGTTAAAGCGCGTCAGACTGAGCCCAAGGCAGTCTAATTTTTTTTAAGAGGATTGTGCTCTTTGATATTCACGTGGATAACGATGATTTCATTTCGATAAATATTCTCGCGTAATTCTATCATTTTGATTATCCTGATAGATCACACCTGTAATCAAAATCTCCTTGAACGAAACATGAGATATTTTAATTGAAATAAAATTCAATAGCATAATATTAGCTCCCGTTCAAAGATTAAAAAGCTCTTCCGGGGAGTAAAGCATCATTTCCCTGCGATATATTTATAAAAAAAAAGTAATTAATTTGAAATGAACCAATATATGTATTGTGTATTCAGCAAACTTTGATTGAAAATAATAAAACGGAGCAAACACGTCATTCAAAATGTTCTCGAAAAACATCGGTAAATCGCACAATAGCAAACTTTATTTATCTTTTAACGAGTCGAGAGATATTTCATTACAGAGTGTCGAGACAGGCTATAAAAGATAATAAAAATTAGAGAGGGGAAAAGGAGAGAGCAAACAAGAGAGGCACAGAAAGAGAAAAAAACGCAACGAATAAAGGCCGAGAGCCGTAAAGAATA